GTCTCTATACTGATCAGTCTAAAGTAATTTTGAGATTCAGTGCTGCCAGGTCTCTGTCTGTTACCTGGGTCTTGATCTGAAATGGACGTTGGAAGCGAAGCACCAAGCGGGCAGGAGACCTCCCTCAGAAGGGGTGAGGGTTCAGGCTCCTGCAGGATTGGGGGGGGGGGGGTGAAGGTCTGTGCCCCAACTCTGTTGACCCCCAAGTTCTCTCCTGATAGAGATTTTTTAAACAAAAGAAATTTGGGGGATGAAGGGGGGAAAATAGATACAAAGGCAAAGAAGCATTGCACACACTGTCAAACTAGAACAGGAAGACAGAGGAGGTTGGGAGGGGGTTCTGTAAGAGATCAACTAAAGGACATGTATGCATGAATATAAGCATAACCAATAAATACAAAACACTGCAGGGGGACAGGTGAGAGCATGTACTGGAGTGTAGTAAAGGCCAGGTGGATGTCAATGTGGGGGGAAAAGGAGATATATGTACTACTATTTGTAACACTTAAAACAATAAAAAAATTTTAAAGATAACACAGTATACACAGTTGTTGATATCAATAAGTCACAAACATAAAGCAGGTTTCATTACACAAAGCTATAAAATAACTTGTAAAAGATTTAAAATGAGAACTGTAAACATTGGTTGCTATTGGTGATTGAGATTAGAAGAGTCTTTACATTTTTATTTTACATACACTTGTGTCCTCTGAAATAAACTCATGTGCATACATCCCTCCTGAGAGTAAATGGAAACAGATCAGATGAGCCAGGCCATGCAGGACCTGAATGCCAAGCAAACACTTCTTCAACTATGCAAGCTCACGTTCCTTCTGGGGGGGCTTCCTGCACACACCCACAGTGCGCAGTTGCAGGTTCTAGTTCAGCCATTCCTCATTGGAGGAGGACCAGATGGGGTAAGACAGAGAGAGGAAGAGATAAGTCATTGAACTTAGGGCAAGTGAGAAGCATCTCATGAAGCCCTTGTCTCAAATCCCCAGAATCTCACTTGCTCGGGCCCCTTGTGCAGGAAGTAACAGGGGCCGCCCAGCATCTTGATAAGCCTCACTTGGTCATCAAGTTCCACTCCTGCTTCTGCAGACACCTCCTATCCAGGGTAGGAGAGCATTCTCTGGTATTCAGCACTCCCTGGAAAGCTCCTCTTTTTACACTCACCGCATACAACAAGAAGATGGTGCTCAGGTAAGAGTCAGCACAGAGCTATCTTTGTTTTCTACCTCTTAGTCGACATGGTCACTACTGCAAGGAGCCATAGGCACCCATGAAGGAGAGTCCAGAGACGTGAAGCTCTTTCAGGGAAACTGTGGATGCTGGTAGCTTAGGCTGTGAGAGACCCAGGTCCTTTCTGCTTCAGAGACATAGTTTTCAAATATGAATTGTTGTTAATAACCTCAAGTTTCACACATTACCTTGCTGTTCTATGAGTTTGTTTGTTATATGCATGTATCTTTCTTGTCCCAGCCAAAAACACAAGGTACAAACAAATAGGGAAATTGAAGAGAGTTTAATAAAAATACTGTGTATAAAGGGTTAGCAGGACTAAAGGAAATCAATAGAGGATACAGAGGTCCCTAAAGATAAATCATAATAGGGAGCTTTTGCCATTGTGCATCCTGAAGTGTAAAGGAAAATATAAGTGACCAGAACATAGGAAAGCTGTGGCTGTACTGGTGTTAGTCTCTAGGACAAATAAATAAATAAATAAAAATAAAAAAGGCCCACAGCCAGGGGCTCTCTCCTTAGGTAGAGTAACACCACCATGGCAAGCTCACAGCCTGACAGCAGAGATGCAAGGAATTAAACCTCAATCACCCTCCTCCTGCCCTACAGCTGTCAGTGTCACTTTTTCTGAGAACAAGAGGGAAAGGATACCCAGTGGTGAGGCAAAGAGATGTGTCCTCTCAGTATGCAGCAGAGGGTAGAGAACCTGGAAATGAAATTTGACATCAAATGAAGAGAATCCATTTTTTTATACCCTTTTCTTAGTTCTTTTTTCTAGGACTTTTTTCTTTCTCACAGTGATTAGATCAACTTGTTATTACATCTCATTTATTTGATCTTTCACACCTTCTACTGGGATTCACTTCTTTGAAATATCATCTCTCTCATCATAAATGTCTTGAGGATAGAATGTACATTATTATTTTTCAAGGGGTTTAGAAACAAATATTTTTAAGAATTTCAATTTATGGTTTTGGTGCCCTAAAAAGAAATACAAGAGAGGTTACTAGAGCTTGACTGGTGTCTCCAAGGCATCAGAAACCTATGCTCTTTCAAATCACTGCTCCCTAGTTCTAGAGAGGAGACTTAAATCTAATGCTCCTATGCTCATCAGCATTCCATCCAGAGGAGAAAGGGGGAAAGAAAAGGACAACCAAAAATTAGTTACATCACCTGTACTCACCTCCCATTGGCAGGCATTGGACCTGTTGTTCATCCTGTGATCTAATGGAAAATCCTTTGGCTCTTTTAGACTCAGTTTCTTCCTATATTAAAGGATGATATTATAATAGACTAGAGGCCCAGTGCAGAAAAATCTTGCACTGGTGGGTGGGGTCCCTCAGCCAAGCCTGCACCCTCTCCAATCTGGGACCCCTCAGGGAATGTCCGACTAACAGTTTAGGCAGTTGGACATCCCTCTTGCAATCTGAGACCACAAGCTCCTATCCACTAACCTGCCTGATTGCTTGATCGCCCGCTAACCACCTCCCACTGGCCTGATTGATGCCAGTGGGAGGTGGTTAGGGGGCAATCAACTACTCTCCTGCCACCTTGATGGCCCCCAACTAACCTCTCCTGCTGGCCATATTGCCCACAACATCCCTCCCCTGCCAGCCCTATCACACACCACTGCCCCCCACCCTGGCCTGATCGTCCCCAACTGCCCTGCCTTGCTGGCCTGATTGCCCACAACTTCCCTCTCCTGCTGTGAGCGGCCTCCTCCACCAGGACCTGCCTCCTCCATGCAAGGTAACGGACACGCTGGGACCGGCCTCCTCTGTGCCAGGCAGAGCTGTGGGACTCCCGGATCTTAATGCACTAAGCTGCCACCAGGCCTGGCCTCCACTATGCTTGTGGCTATCTTGTGGAAGCCATCTTGTGGTGGCCATCTTATGACAAGATTGCACGTGAGAGCATGACGCCACCTAGGCTTTTATTAGTATAGAAGGTCTCTAAGGGACATGTTCTTACTGCCAAAGATACAATAGTGAACAATAACCAAGAAAAAAAAGACAAAACCCAGACAGACTGAATCATCATTATGAAGTTTTGAGTTTAAAAAGGGAGGCAAACCCTAGCAGGTTTGACTCAGTGGTAAGAGTGGCAGCCTACAGCTTGAAGGCCAGCAGGTTCAATTCTATTCTGGCTAAATCAGGCAATAAATGACTGATTAGATCTGTCCAGAGGGAAGAAGGAACTCCTGGAATCTCTAGTCTGTTCTCAGCTGGATTCCACCTACTTCTTCTTCCATACTGAATAATTTTCATCCCTTGTTATTTATAAAATTTCCTTATTCTACCTTAATAAAACACACAAGTGAGTTGCCATTTTAGATTTGTCCTTAAGAGTTACTTGCTTCCTGCCCCACCACCCCCAATATGTACCGAAAAAACCACCCTGGTAGTGGGGCTGCAGGGCAGGGGAAGAGTAAAGACTCCGACACAGACCTGTGGGTTCAGATCCAGGCTCTTCCACTTGTCCATGTGAGAACTGGAGCATGTCATTCAACCTCCTTGTGCTCATCTTTTCCTATATGCCATATGGGAGTAAGCATAGTACTGGCCTCATAGGGATATTTGGAGGATTAAAAGAGGTAATACCCTGTAACCATTCATCAGATACTACTCTTCACCTATATATGGGCTGGTTTACACAAAATCTGCAAGAGTTTCTCTTTCAATCCAAAGCCCTTTGTAAAATAGAACTAAGCACTTCTTAACTCCACCACCAGCAGGAGGAATTCTCTTACACAAATGCTTTGATCTGTAAAGAAATCTCTACTCCAAATCATATGTAGGGACAATTCTGGACTTTCCTATTACATGTATCATAGGAAAACATGTTAATAATGCCCCTTCTGTATTTCTGCCCAATTACCTCTATTCACACCCTTGGTCACCTCAGTCTCTCTCCTTCCTAAAGGGCTTCTTTCTCCTCTAAAATGCAGAGAAGTTTAATTCAGTCCTGAATCCTCTCCCACCTGAATAGGAGTTGTCTGCAGGCATACAGAAGTTCTTTTGAACACACAAGAGCTTTTCACAGAATGAATACTTAGAAAGGGAATTTACTTTTTATTACATGAGTTGGCTCCTCCTCATTTGTTCATTCATTTATTCATTCATTCACTTGTGGATTAAAATTATATTGACAGCCTTATTGTGTTCCCACGCAGACTTAGGGCCTGGGGACTCAATAGGGGGAAGACTAATCACTGTCTATCCTCATAAAAAAAGACACAGTGGGACATTTCTAATTCCAGAACTTTGGGTGTTCTCACTCTATCCTAACAAGTGGTATCATTGCCTTCATAAGTTTAAGTCATAACCACCTTTTTCCCTGTGAGTAGATCACTCTCAGTTACTGAGATTGTCCTGGGGCTTCTGACAGCGTGTTGTCAAATGAAAGGCACTCTCCCAGAGCACAAATTCTGAGGAACTCAGAACTCTAGTGTCTTTCACAGGACCTGAGCAGACTCTTCTCCTCCTGCCTTCAGGGCACATGTCATGGGCTAGATGGTGAGTGGAGAGGTTGGATATGGAGGGTCTGTGTTGCAGTAAAATGAGCCCAGGCTCTAAGATTCAGAAAAAAACTGGGTTTAAATTCATGCTCCAGGACTCTTCCTGTGTGTTTCAGGAAGAATCATAATCTCTGGAAGCCTCCATTCACCATAGACAGGGTGGCCATGAGGGTCAGTGGTCATACAGCAGGTGCTCAAGTCTTGTTTTGTTTCCAGGCCCACAACTGCAGCGTTTCTGAGCATGGACATGACTGTCACAGCCTGGGAGACTGAACTCACACCAACCGATGAAAGTGATCAACAGTTTACAGACAACATAATCCTGGAAGTACTGACAGTCATCGTGGCCCTGGTGGGGCTGGCAGGGAACGCGGTGGTGCTCTGGCTCCTGGGCTTCCGCATGCGCAGGAACGCCTTCTCAGTCTACATCCTCAACCTGGCGGGGGCCGACTTTCTCTATCTCTGCTACCAATTTATAACTAGCCTAGTTTCGCTTTTCGAAGTCGATTTTTTCCTTGGAGTAATGAACAACTCTCTCTTGCCAGTGTCATTATTTGCCTACATTTCAGGCCTGAGCTTTCTCAGCGCCATCAGCACGGAGCGCTGCATGTCTGTCCTGTGGCCCATCTGGTACCGCTGCCGCCGCCCCAGAAAACTATCTACCATCATATGTGCCCTGCTCTGGGCCCTGTCCCTGCTGCTGAGCATGCTGGAAGGGTACTACTGTGGATTCCTGGTTAAGAATGAGCATGAAGTTTGGTGTCCAGTGTTAGATTTTATCACTGTGGTGTGGCTGATTTTGTTATTTGTGCTGCTCTCTGGGTCTACCCTGGCCCTGATGACCAGACTGCTGTGTGGCTCCCACCGGGTGCCACCCACCAGGCTCTATGTAACCATCTTGCTCACAGTGCTGGTCTTCCTCCTCTGCTGCCTGCCCTTTGGCATCCACTGGTTCCTCTTTTACTGGCTTGAAAATAATGTTGATGCCTTCCTTTATGTTGACGAATTTCTAGTACCCCTGTGTTGTGTCAACAGCTGATCACTGGATTGCCTCCAACCTCTGAGGGATCCCAGACTGTGAGATGGGGCAGGCTGGGCTGAGGGAGCCCCCCCGTCTCTGGCATTTCATAAGTTTAAAAAAAAAATCCCTGTCAAAAACCATAAATAACCATTCAGAAATTGTTCTGCCAGATTGGATAAAAAAGGAAGATTCCTTATGGTTCTCCCAGAATATAGGCCCCTTAGATTTATGCTTAGTGCTGTGGTTGGGAGCATTCTACAGCTTAAAAGCTTGAACAGATGAGTTGGCCTACCTCTAATCTCATTGGGTTGTCTAGGTTTAGGGATAATGATATCCTTAGATATGCACAATCAAGGAAATTTGGCCTGTGAAAGATCCTCTAGTAGCATTTCTCTACAGCATCTTCTCTGCCTGGATGTGGCACAGTATAGGCACACAGTACTTATAGAGCTGGGAAAACACAAAAATGAGTGAATTAGTTGTTCTCATTGTTTCAAATGCTTTGTAGTTAATTTAGTTAAGAAAATAGCATGCAACTCAATTTGGCTGTGGCCTGGGCACATGAAAGAAAGTGATAGGTGCTAAAGCATGCCCATGGGAGTTTTGCCATCTCTGGGGTCCAGGACTGCTCTCACATTTACAGAATCTCACCTACAGAGGAAGATGAAGTGCAGGAAAAGTCTAAATTTCTTTCATTGCTGAATTTGATAGGTTACTTGTATTTCTTGAAGTGTCTTTTTCAGTTCTGCCAGTTTTTATTAAGGGTTGCCCTTTTGCATTCGTTGTTTGTAGGAGTTTTGATATATGCCGAACGGGGTTTTGGTTAATTATGTATATTGTAAATATTTATTCAGATGCTGGTTTGCTTATTCATTTTAATAGTTTTCATACTTTAGAGCACTTTTTAAGAAAGTACAGAAAATTTCTATACCCCCCCCAATTCCTAATTTCCCACACAGTTTATCTTATTACTAACATCTTCCATTAATGTGGCACATTTATTGAAATTGATGCACCCATATGTTCATATTGTTTTTAGTTTTATTGTTGAAAATATTATAAATGTTCCCTTTTTGCCCCATTTGACCCCATCATGGCTCCCCTCCTGATCAGGCCTTCACCACCCTATTATCTGAATCCATGGATTAGGCAAAAAAGGTCTTTGCTTGATTTCCTCCCACCCACCTACCCTACCTCCTTCCCCCACACACATAGCCTTCCCTCAGAGATTCTGCACTCTGTTCAAGTTTCCATGTCTAGGACCCACTCCGACATCAAACAAATAGGGCAATTGAAGGGAGTTCGGTAATAAAAGACTGTAGAAAGGGTGAACAGGATGACACACCTAAAGATTAGTCATATAAAGGAGCTATTGCCCTTACACATCTTGAAGTTTAAAAGGAAAAAATAAGGTGCCAGAACACAGTGAGGGCTGGGCTATCGCAGTGAACCTGCAAAGAATTGACTGATTGCGTTTGTCCAGAGGCAAGTAGCAGCTCCTGGCATCTCTGGTCTGTTCTCAGCTGGATTCCACCCATTTCTTTGTAATTTGTGAAATTTGCCTATTCTAGTTTCATAAAACACACAGATTAGTTTGCTTGTTAGAAGTGACCCTGGTTGTGGGGGGCTGCAGGGCAGCGGAAGAGTAAACACTCTGACACAGACCTGTGGGTTCAGATCTGGGCTCTTCCACTTGTGCACATGAGAACTGGAACATGTTATTCAACCTCCTCCTGCTTGTCTTTTCCTATATGCCAGATGGGAGTAAGCATATACTGGCTTCTATTAAAAGAGGTAATACCATGTAAGCACTCATAGGCTGCTACTCTTCACATATGTGTGAGTTGGTTTGTGTTTCTCACCTAAATTCTGCAGACGTTTCTCTCTTTTCATCCATAGCACTTTGTAAAATATAAATAAGCATTTTAAAATATATTTTATTGATTTTCTTACAGAGAGGAAGGGAGAGAGATAGAGAGCTAGAAACATCCATGAGAGAGATACATCCACCAGCTACCTCTTGCACACCCCCTACCTGGGATGTGCCCACAACCAATGTACATGCCCTTGGCTGGAATCGAACTTAGGAACTTTCAGTCCACAGACCCACGCTCTACCACTGAGCCAAACCTGTTTTGGCAGAAATAAGCATTTCTTAATTCCACCACGACCATGAGAATTCTCTTACACAAATGCTTTGATATATAAAAATTCTCTACTCCAAATCATATGTAGGATCAATGAGTGGCTTTCCTATTACACCCATCATAGGAAAACCAGTTAATAATGCCCCTTCTGTATTTCTGTCCCAACTACCTTTCTTCATACCCTTGGCCACCTCTGTCTCTCTGCTTCCCAAAATGGCTTCTTTCACCTCTAAAATGCAGAGAAGTTTAATTCAGTCCTGAATCCTCTCCCACCTGGATAGGAGATAAAAAAATTATTTCAAGTGAGAGGGCAGGGCGGGGCGAGGATGAGCTCCTGACTCCGCCCCGCAGGGCAGAGTTATCCCTAGCCCTCACCCAACCAATCAGGGTTAGCCAAGGCAGTGACATCACCATCGACCGGAGTAAAACCCCTGGACTGGAAGAAATTCTCTCTCTTCTGCCATGCTGCAGACATGAGTGGGAGGAGCCCATGCTAGCATGGCAAAGGCTCTTTTGTTTATTGCATCGGACTCGGCTCCCTGGTGGTCCTTGGGGATCACGAAGTCTGGGCGTAACACAAGCACACAAGAGCTTTTCACAGAATAAATAATTGGAACATGAATTTTCTTTTTGTTACTTGTGTGTTTTTGGTGGTGAAAAGTGCTGACTTCTGTTTTACATATAATATTCTTCATTTTTAAAATTATCATATTATATTAAATCCAAATTTTCTTACTGCTCCTCAATCATCCACTCATTCACTCATTCATTTGTGGGTTTAAATTTTATTGACAGCCCCATTTTGTTCCCACACAGACTTGGGACAAAACATTGTGTCTATCCTCATATAAAAAACCAACTGGGACATTTCCAATGCCAGAGCTTTGAGTGTCTTCACTCTATCCTAACAAGGGTCTCATTGCCTTCATGACCTTAAGTCATAACCTCCTTTCTCCCAGTGAGTAGTTCACTCTCAGTTGCTGAGATTGCCCTGGAGTTTCAAACAGCCCACAGTCAAACAAAGCCACTCTCCCAGAGCACAAATACTGGAGAACTCAGAACCCTGTTGTCCTCCACAGGACCTGAGCAGATTCTTCTCCTCCTGCCTCCAGGGCTCATGTCATGGGCTGGATGGTGAGTGGAGAGGTTGGACATGGAGGTCTGTGCTGTAGTAGAAGGAGCCCAGGCTCTATGATTCAGAAAAAACTGGGTTTAAATTCAGGTTCTAGGACTCTAAAACTGTGTGTTTCAGGAAGAATCTTAATCTCGGGAAGCCTCCATTTGCCACAGAACAGACAGGGTGGCCATGAGCGTCAGTGGTCATAGAGCAGGTGCTCAAGTCTTGTTTTGTTTCCAGGCCCACAACTTCAGCATTTCTGAGCATGGATATGACTGTCACAGCCTGGGAGACCAATCTCACAACAACCCATGGAAGTGATCAACAGTTTACAAAGAACATAATTTTGGAAGTACTGACACTCATTGTGGCCCTGGTGGGGCTGGCAGGGAACGCAGTGGTGCTCTGGCTCCTGGGCTTCCTCATGCGCAGGAACGCCTTCTCAGTCTACATCCTCAATCTGGCGGGGGCCGACTTCCTCTTCCTCTGCTGCCAATTTATAACTACCGTACTTTTACCTTTTGACTTCGATTTTTTCCTTAGAGTAATGAAAAAGTTTCTCTTGCCTGTGACAGTCTTTGCCTACACCTCTGGCCTGAGCTTTCTCAGCGCCATCAGCACGGAGCGCTGCATGTCTGTTCTGTGGCCCATCTGGTACCGCTGCCGCCGCCACAGAAAACTATCTACCATCATATGTGTTCTGCTCTGGGCCCTGTCCCCGCTGCTGAGCATGCTAGAAGTTTACTACTGTGGCTTCCTGGTTGAGAATGTGCATGAAGTTTGGTGTCCAATGTTAGATTTAATCACTGTGGCATGGCTGATGTTGTTATTTGTACTGCTCTCTGGGTCCAGCCTGGCCCGGATGACCAGACTGCTGTGTGGCTTCCACCGGGTGCCGCCCACCAGGCTCTATGTGACCATCAGGTACTGGTCTTCCTCCTCTGCGGCCTGCCCTTTGGCATTGGCTGGTTCCTCTTATACTGGCTTGAAATTTATTTTTATGCCTTCACTTATCCTGATAAGTTTGTAGTACCCCTGTCCTGTGTCAACAGCTGTGCCAACCCCATCATTTACTTCTTCGTTGGCTCCTTCAGGCAGCGATGGTGGGAGCAGAAACACACCCTGAGGCTGGTTCTTCACAGGGCTCTGCAGGATACTCCTGAGGTGCATGAACAAGAAGAAAGCCTTCCTGAGGAAACCCTATAAGTGACGGGAAGCAGGCTGAGCCATAGATGAGATCCTCTGTCCTGATCTGTCTGAAGTAACTTTGAGACTCACTGTTGCCCTGCTAGGCTTGGAAAGTATCTAGTCTTCTCTCAGCCTCAGCCTCAGAATGCTTCAGTGATTCCCCAATCTCTTCAAATCGGTTGTTTTTAATCTGGCTGTTCTAGTTTTTATCAGAGAACGCATTAGTCCAAACATTATAACTCTCCATCATTATTGACATTACCAATGAATTTCTCATGTGATCTGAATTTCTTTAGAATTTTCCTTCAGAATCTTCATTGCAACAAAAATAATCCCAGTCAGATGTCCTGGTTTTGCACATCTGCAAATTCTTGTCTGATGTCAGTTTTTGCAGATCTACTCTCCTCTCCAAGCCTCAGTTAGCTCACTAAAATGTGGTGAAATCATCTGCTCATAGGATCCTAATGGGGAATCCTATATAATAAAGAGGTGATATGCAAATTGACCATCACTCCAACACACATGATTGCCACCCCTATGTGGACACAAGATGGCCAACACAAGATGGCTAGCAGGGGTGGGCAGTTATAGGTGATCAGGCCTTCAGAGAAGGGCAGTTGGGGGTGACCAGGCTAGCAGGGGAAGGCAGTTGGGGTGACCAGGCATGCAGGGGAGGGAAGTTACAGCAATGGACTGGCAGGGAAGCAGTTAAGCATTGATCAGGCTGGCAAGGGAGTGGTTAGGGGGTGGCAGGCAGAAGTGGTTAGAACCAATCAAGTAGGCAGGCAGGCAAGAGGTTGGGAGCCAGCAGTCCTGGATTGTGAGAGGGATGTCTGGCTGCCCTTTTAGGCCCAAATGCCACTGGGTAGTTGGACATCTCTTTAGGGTCCCAGATTGGAGAGGGTGCAGGCTGGGTTGAGGGACACACATCCCCAGTACTCGAATTTCATGTACCAGGCTTCTAGTAAATTATAAAACGCATGAAAAGGACTCAGTCAGGTGCCAAAAATGACTAAATATTTCATGAACATCTGGAGTTAATACATGTGAAGCCTCTAATATATTATTGACTTTTGAGGTAGTCCTATTTAATAAAGAGAAAATATGATAATTGACCCTTATGCTGTTGCAAAGATGGCAGCGCACACAGCCAATAAGGAAAGAATATGATAATTGACTGCCATGCCCTCAAAAATGGCTGCATTCACTCCCATCAACCCTGCCAGGGTAGCAGGCATAAGGCAAGGCAAGGTCCACCCCCACGCAGGCCCAGCCACTTCACACGCCTGCCTCTGGCATCTCCCAGTCCTCTCCACACCCCTAGCTGTCCAGGGCCATCCTGAGATGCAGGCAAGCCTCAGATGGTGGCTGCCCAGCCTCCTAAGGCCATTCAAGACTTGGGTAACCTGGGCCAGCTGAGGCTTGAGCTGCTGGCAGTGGCAGCAGCAGAGGTGTGATTGGAGCATCACCTTCCCTGATCACTGGATTGCCTCCCACCTCTGAGGGATCCCAGACTGTGAGATAGGGCAGGCTGGGCTGAGGGAGCCCCCCATCCAGTGCATGAATTTCCATGCATCAGGCCTCTGGTATTTAATAAGTTATTTAAAAAAAAAAAAAAAAGAATCCCTGTGGAAAACCATAAATGATCATTCAGAAATTGTTCTGCCTTATTGGATAGAAAAGAAAGATTCCCTATGGTTCTCTCAGAATATAGGCCCCTTAGATTCATGCTTAGTGCTGTGGTCGGGGGCATTCTACAGCTTAAAAGCTTGAACAGATGAGTCGGCCTACCTCTAATCTCATTGGGTTGTCTAGGTTTAGAAAAAATGATATCCTTAGATAAGCACAATCAAGGAAATTTGGCCTGTGAAAGGTCCTCTATTAGCATTTGTCTACAGCTTCTTCTGTTTGGATCTGACACAGTATAGGCACTCAGTACTTACAGTGTTGGGAAAACAGAAAAATGAGTGAATAAGTTTCTCTCATTTTTTCAAATGCTTTGTAGTTAATTTTTTTAAGGAAATAGCATGTAACTCAATTTGGCTGTGGCCTGGGCACATGAAAAGAAGTCGTAGGAGCTAAAGCAGAAAACACTGGTTATCCCCACATCATGTGAAAATAATCTAGCTAACAAATGTCCCGGGGAGGAGGGAGGCAGGGAAGGGGAGGGGAGAGAGGTGACAAGTCATGCCTGTGGTGTGCTAAATTCTTTATCTGTTAAAAGGGACCACAATATACACAAGTGCTGATATCTAAAAGTCACAACCAGAAAGCAGGTTTCATTACGCAAAGCCATGGGATCCTCTGAAAGATAGTTCAGAGACATGAAGCTCCCTCAGGGAAGCTCTGGGTGCTGGTAGCTTAGGCTGTGAGGGATCCAGGTCCTTTCCCCTTCAGAGATATCGTTTTCAAACATGAATTGTTGTTAATAACTCAGCTTGCATACATTAGCTTACTGTTGCATGGATTTGTTTGTTTGCCATATGTTTGTATCTTTCTTGTTCCAGCATGAAAAACAAAGCACAAACTAATGAGTAATTGAAGAGAGTTTAATAAAGGGAATATGTACAAAGTGGTGAGCAGAACTAAGGGAAATTGATAAAGATAGAGAAGCTCCTAAAGATTAGTAATAATAGGGAACTATTGCTCTTACACATCCTGAAGTGTAAAAGGAAAGATAAGTTACCAGAACACATGGAGGGCTATGGCTGTAATGGTGGTTGTCATTTTAACTGTAAGAAAGGCAACCAGACAGGGGTTATGTCCTTAGGTAAATACCACCATGACCAACTCACAGCCTGACATCAGAGAGCCAGGGAGTTGAAACCTGCCCTCTTCCTGCCCTCCAACCACCTGCCAGTGTCTTTCCTTCCTGAGATCACTCAGGAGCCAGAGGAAAAGGGGTCCAGTGGTGAGGAAATGATGCCTGTCTCCCAGGATGCAAAGGAGGGTAGAAAAGTTGGAAATTAGATTTGACGTCAAATGAAGAACACCCATCCCTTCTTATCATCTCCCAATAGTTGGTTTTCCCTCTCTCTCTCTCTCCCTCTCTCTCTCAATATGTTTAGCTCAATTTCTCATTGTACCTCCTCAGTTTATTTGTTTGACTCTTTGCACCTCTCCATTGGGTGTCACTTTTTGGAATAATCTCTTGCTATCATCATAAATGCCTTGTTAATAAAATGTAGTTTGTTTGGTGTGTGTTTTTTAAAGTGGGATTACACTGTTATTATTTTGGCTGCTCTAGGAAGAAATCCATTATAAGAGTGAATTAAACTGTGTTCCACTAGGCACACCACTGTTCAGAAGAAAAGTACTTCCTGTCTTCATAAAGATGACACACTCCACCATTTCCAGCACAAGAGGGAAGGTCATGTTCATACCCCTCATAGCAAGAGATTATATTTAATTTATAACTCAAAATCATGATCTTCCTTCTGGAGGATGGACATTTTCAGCCACTGAGATTGCCCAGAGGTCAGAGCTGGGGCTTCCACTTTCAGCCCTTGAAAGGAAATCTCAGTTGCAGGACAGAAGCAATGATGAGCTCAGAGTCCTGCTGTCATCCCACATTACCTGTCCAGACTATGCTCCTCCAATCTCTGGAAGACATGACATAGTCTCCAACTATGAGTGGAAGTATTTAGACTACAGAAAATTCCCATGTCAGAAGAAGGTCCATGTTGCATAGGCAGAGCACCGACTCTAGAGTCAGAGAGAACTGGGTTTAAGTCCAGGTTCCAGGACTCCAAGACAGTGAAGCCTTTGTATCATAATCTCTGTAACACAGACAATAATTCCCAGGTAGCAAGTGGCCATGACACTCACTGATCAGGCAGCTGGTACTCAAGTATTTTTTTGTTCCAGTGGCACTAGTGGAGGGTTCCCAAGCATGAATCCATCTGTCACAGCCTGGAGCAGCCAACTCACATCTATAAGTGGAGGAGAACAAACTTTCAACATGGAGTTCCTAAGCCTGGAATTACTGACACCCATTATGGCCCTGGTGGGGCTGGCAGGGAAGGTGGTGGTGCTCTGGCTCCTGGGCTTCTGCAGGCGCAGGAATGCCTTCTCCATCTACATTCTCAACCTGGAAGAAGCCAACTTCCACTTACTCTGCTCTTATATTATAGATGCCCTGGAGACACTCATCAGGAACTTCTATCTCATCTACATATTCATCCCACACTTTTTCATGACTGTGTTCTTCTTTGCCTACATGTCAGGCATGAGCTTTCTTAGAGTTATTAGCACAGAGCACAGCCTGTCTATCCGGTGGCCCATCTGGTGCCACTGCCACCACCTCAGACACCTGCAAGCCCTCATGTGTGCTCTGCTCTGGGCCCTGTCCCTGTTGCTGAGCATCCTGTAAAGGAACTACTCTGACCACATGTTTGGTGTACAGTGTTGGACTTCATTAATGTACTGTGGCTTATTTTGTTATTTGTGCTTCTCTCTGGGTCCAGCCTGGCCCTGATGATCAGACTTCTGTTTGGCTCCCAGTGGGTACAGCTGACTAAGCTCTACATGACCTTCGTGCTCACGGTGCTGGTCTTCCTCCTCTGCAGCTTGCCCTTCAGCATCCACTGGTTCCTCTTACTCTGGTATCAAAGATATTTCAATATCTTTGTTCTTCATTTCTTGGTGGCAGTTTCCCTATTCCGTGTCAGCAGCTGTGCCAACCCCATCATTTACTTCTTCATTGGCTTCTTCAGGCAGAGATGGTGCAAGTGAGGACACACCCTGAGGCTGGTTCTCCAGAGGGCTCTGCAGGACACTTGAGGTGGATGAACCTGGAGAAAGCCTTCCTGGGGAAACCCTGTTCATGTCAGGAAGTCTGGTGTCCTGATTCAGACTCTTGCTTTGTTCAGACAGCTTTGACTTTGAAAGCCAGCTTTGTCCCTCTCATTTGATTGGTTTTCCTGCCTTGTTTGCCCTCTGGGCCCCTGCATTAAAACAATTAACATAATAATTTAGTTCCTTAGGTTGAAGTGGGACAGTGCCTGTTAAACAAACACAGAGTGCAAGGCCCCAGGACAGCCTCACCCAGGACCTTCACCCCATGCCCATGGGAGCTTTGCCATCTCTGGGGTCCAGGACTGCTCTCACATTTGAAGAATCCTACCTATAGCAGAAGATGAAGTGCAGGAAAAGTCTAAATTTCTTTCATCACTGCACTTGATAGAAGCTAAATGAACGTTACATTTTTGACAAGTTTTTGTGGTCATTCTCCTACAATGTCTCTAAAACTAAATGAATTAAAGTTCAACAGGGCCCCTGTGAGCAGCTTTGATGATTTTGGCAGGCCTTAGACTGACTCCTTAGCATAATAAATGTTGTTTGAATAAGTGAACTAATAAATGAAAGTATGGTGATTTTCAAGTCAAGTCTCTGCTAAATCCCCATTGCCATATTTGAGTCACCCTTTTCAAGTGCATTGTTGTCACCATTTTCATCCTTTGCAAGCATGAGTATCCTTTCATGAGCTTGTTGGTTACTTATATTTCTTGAAGTATCTTTTTAGTTTTGACAATTTTTATTAAGTGTTGCTCTTTCTCATTATTTATTTGTAGGAGTTTTGATATATTCAGAACGGAGCTTTGGTTAGTTATATATATTGTAAATATTAATTAAGTTGCTGGTTTGCTTATTCATTTTAATATATTTTATATTTTAGAGCTCTTTTAAAGAAAAATAGTACAAAGATTTCTATACTTCTGGTTCTTCATTTCTAATTCCCCACACAGTTTATCTTATTATTAACATCTTCCATTAATGTGGCACATTTATTGAAATTGATGCACCTATATGGATACATTGTTTTTAGTTTTATTGTTGAAAGTGTTATAAATGTTCCCTTTTTGCCCTATTTGACACCATCTGTCCATGTCTTTCCCCCCCTCCACCCCACTCCCTAGGCCTTCACCATGAATTAGGCATACAAGGTCTTTGGTTGATTATCTCCCACCCACCCACCTTCCCCCTGCCTTCCCTCAGAGATTCTGCACACTGTTCCATGCTTCCATGTCTCTGTACCCACTCTGTCATCAGTTTACTTTGTTACTTAGATTCCACATTTTAAGTGTAATTATGTGATACATATCTTTCTCTGACTTATTTTACCTTGAGTGATACTCTACAGGTCCTTCCATGCTGTCTCAAAGGATAAGAGATTCTTCTATTTTACTGCTGCATAGTATACCATGGTATAAATGTAGCACAGCTTTTTCATCCACTCATCTACTCATGAACACTCAGGCTATTTCCAGATCTTAGCTATTATAAATTGTGCTGCTATGATCATAGGGATGCATACCTTCTTTCTGATTGGTATTTTGACTTTCTTAGGATATATTCCTAAAAGTGGGATCACTTAGTCAAATGGCAATTCCATATTTAATTTTTTGAGAAAACTCCATACTGCTTTTTATAATGACTGCACCAGTCTACATTTCCACCAGCAGTGTACAAACATGCTCATAGAAGAACAAGGTAATGTGTAAAACCTGAGGTTATTAACAGCAATTCAGGGTTCAAAACAATGTCTATGAAGCAGAAAAGACCCGGGTCTCTCCACAGTCTTGCCAGCACTTGTTATTTGATGCTGACTATTCTGACAGATATGAGGCAATACATCATTGTTATTTTAATTTGCATCTCTCTGGTGATCAGTAACTTTGAGCATTTTTTCATATGTCTCTTGGCCATCTGTATGTCCACTTTGGAGCAGTGTCTATTTAGGTTATTTGCCCATTTTTTCCCACTGGATTGTTTGTCTTCCTTTTGCTAAGTTGTATGAGTTCTTTACATGTTTTAGATCCTCAGCTTCCCCTAATCTTCTGAGTATTCCCTCCAATGTGTTCTCTTTTGTGCTATGTCATTTTTTAATTTCTGACTTTTTTTTATAGTTATTATACTATATGTTTTCTCATGCTGTTGAACATCTTTACCATCATTTTTCCAATCTCTATATCAGATAAATTTCTTTTCTCCTTTTCACTTATCTCTTCTTCTGGAGAATTCTATTGTTCTTTCATTTGGGAGATAGATTTTTGTTTCCCAATTTTGGCTGCCTATTTGGGTTTTTTTGTTTGTTTGTTTGTTTGTTTTGTTTTGTTTTATGCACAGTAAAACTTTATTTCCAAACATTGTAAACAATACCATACAGGCATCCATACAGGAGAGTGTTCTTAAAGCTTCACAATTTCACATAAGGTCAAAAATGAGTATGTGACCTTGGCAGGTCATACACTGTAAAATACAGGTTTTCAAGCCTGGCCCAGTGGCTCAGTTCCTTGGAACGTCTTGTCATACCAGAAAAAAGTGGGCTGGAAGCACAGGGAAAAAGAGGACTAGCTTGTGGGGTTCATGGTAGTTACTGGGTGCTGTTGCTGGGAGCCTGCCCACACTAATTGGAACTTCCCACCTGCACTCAAGAATGGAGCACTGGGGTTTTCCCATTAGCTTTCCCAGGTGTAAGGTCAAAGAGGAGAGGAGGGTGAGTCCTTTTAAGCTTTCAACATTCAAACATCAAGACTGGAATCAGGATCTTGATTCCTTTCAATAAAGTATTCCTTTCAATAAAGAGGGAAGAAAATAAGCACATATAAAATTTCTTCCAAATTGTTCATCACTAGACTCTGATGATACTGATTGTAAGAGATTCTGAAGAAGGTGCAATGGAGAAATAAGGCATGAGTTTCTCTGTGAAAGTATCACTTAATCCACTCAAGAATGACCTGTTATTCAAATTATAATATGAAACCTCTCCCAACTCATAGTCCAGAAAAATGCCAATGTGATATTGTCCTGTACAGACAAGGCGGAATATTTGATTCTTCTGCTGGTATTCCCAGCATGCATTGCTTGGGGATAATGATATGAGAGTATCTCTGGGGATACATTCTTTACAGAAACCTAATAAACATTCACCTGTGCCTCTTATTTTTACCACCCAAAAATGCCTGCCAGCATCAAATCCCTCAGAACTTAGGAGAGCTGGGTAAGAAGTAAATGCGTGGTGATTAGGAAGACCATCTGATTTCCTATAGGTCACACTTTTTCTATCTTTTGAGATATTGAGACTTGGATGGGCTATTCAAGGATTCAGTGTCAAATCTACCTGAAACGTGCGGATCACTTTATGCAGGCCCAAATAATTTGGGGGGAGATTGTAAGACTCCTTCTTTAATTCACATGAAAACACTGCTGGGGTCTCTAGGTTTTCATACCTGTTATGAATCCTTTCAATATCCGTGAGTAAGTCCAGGTCTGTCTGCAAACAGTTGTCTTCTATTTCACTTAACAGACTGCTTAGCCTAAACATATGGTATGAAATTTGCCTCCCAAATTCAATTAATTTTTCTTCAGCATCCTTCTCTTCTATAGGTAGATTGTTATCAATTTTGTGTCGCTCTATTTCCCAGAAACACTTAAGTTCTTTACACTCCTAAGTCCAATTCCTCCCTCAATTTTTTCATCTTTCTCTTCACTTCCCAAGTATTTGCAACTTGGTTTTTATACTCACTTTTCGCGTTTTTAAGTTTATTAGTGAAAACACCAATGTGCCCTTTGAGCATGCTCCTGTGAATAGCGGCAGCTTCTTCAATGGAGATCACGGGCCCATTTTGGTGGTCGGCTGAGACCTTGCACTGGGCACACAGAAGCTCCATGTTTTTCTCACAGAATAGGGTCAGAGCCTCGTTGTGCTTCCCACACAGGGGTATTCCTTCCTGCAGTTTCCTCTGGCTCTCTGAGGTGGGGATCTGCTGGATAATCTCCATCATGTCACATAATTGGGGGTTCCTCTTCAAGCTCCTGTCAGGGCTTGGCTGCCTATTTGTATTTGTGATTATGTATTAGGTAAATCTGCTATGCCTCCCAATCACAAGTGCAGGACAGTGCCAAACCCTGTTTCTGACTAATTAGATCAGGCAAAGACTCAAAATCTCCAGAGACCAGCATCTGCCTCTATAGACACTGATTGGATTAGTCTTGAGTAGTTCTCAGGCAATTACCATAGACTGGTGAGTGGTTTTCCTTCAGTGCTTCTACCTGGAGGCAAATTGTTATCCTCAGACTCTTTGTAGGCCTCAGAAACTCCACACCATTGGTGAGGTGTTTTCCAGTAGGGTGGGTCAACTGTCTTCCCCACCAGACAATAACTACCTGGATAACAAAGGTCTGCCTGAAAGAGATGACCTCTGCAGTCAGAGGGAATGACTCTGCACAAAAAACCAGGGTTCCTGCATGCCAAGCTCTAAACCCAAAACTCCTAACCCTGGACTCTGCTCACACAACTCCAATACAGTCTGCCCTCTCTCTGCCAGGAAACAAGGTGAATGGCTGCACACAAAATATTGTGCATTGTCC